TGCGAAGGTGCTGGCAGCGTCCCACTTTTGTGCGGTCTCTATCATGCTCGTGACCAGGTTGTCCACCGTGATAGGTCTGCCCATGATGTCCTCCAGTTCCTGTCTGTTCGCTGCGAAACGTCCACACTCGAATATGACGTGATTGGCGTCCTCTATGATTCCTCTGCCGCACCAAGAACACTCGTCTGTGTTGTCGTGGCCGAATCGCTTTAAGTAGCTCCTGAAGCATCCGTGGCCTGATAGGAGCTGCGTTAAATAAAAATTAGTATTGCCATACTTGCGATTTATCCAGGCTTCCAAGTTTGGGATAAGCCTATGCGTCCAGCGTCCTTTAGATGCGCGATCCCAGCGTGCTTGCCATCGTGCTACGCTCTGCATCCTTGCCTCAGTGCGAATCGAGTTTGCTGTGTTGCTTCCATTGTGGGCTCTATAGCAAACTACAGCTTCTGTTGCCAGTTCGTCTAGCGGGACCATCCCTGCGATAACCAGCGCCGCTTCGTCCGATACCGTCCGGAATGCGCAGCTGACCCGTAGAGCGCTTAGGCGATATATAGAGTGTACGCCCCGGCTGTAGCTGGGAACAGCCATTGCTCTGCTCCAGATGGGGGACGCGTACATTATTACCGCTCTGTTTACGGTCATAAGGAGACGGCGTCTCTGCTGTTTCGGTCCCCGTGTGTTCAGCATAATCCTGGATAGCGCTCGACAGGACTCTGCTGCTTTCTTGTGCACGTACTCCAAGTGCTCTCTGAACGACATCCTTGTGTCTAGCATGACACCCAGGTACTTTAGCGCCCTTGCTGATTCTATTGTCGCACTGCCGACTCTTATGTGCGCTGTTTCCACTCTTTTTCGACTGCTGACTAACACCGCTTCTGTTTTATGAGCAGCCAGCTCGAGTCCAGCTGCTGCTAGCCAATGGTGCACACGGGCAATGCTGTGGTTACACGATTCCTCTACGACTTTCAATTCCTTGCCGACGACTACAAGGGCCACGTCGTCCGCGAAGCCGATGATACTTGTATCGATCGGGAGTTCCAGTCGGAGGATGCCATCGTACATGATGTTCCAGAGGAGGGGTCCTAGAACTGAGCCTTGGGGCACTCCAGCGGACACTTGATGTGTAGTGGGGCCGTCTGCGGTGTCGTATTGCAGCAATCTTCCAGTAAAGTAGCTGCGTATCGTCTCCTGAAGATAATATGGGACGCGGAACGTTGACAGTGCATCCAATATTTTGTCCCACCTGGCTGTGTTAAAGGCGTTTTTAACATCCAGCGTGACGATGAGGCAGTACTTTTTTGTGCCGCTTTTCCATCTCGATCCTTGGATGGCGTTTGTTGCTATGCCGACCACTTTCTCCAGAGCGTCTATTGTAGACTTTGCCTTGGTGAAACCAAATTGGCTTTGGGACAGGCCACCATTGTTGTCGACAGCTGCCTGGAGCCTGTTGCAGATTAGCTTCTCCAGCACTTTGCCTAACGTGTCCAGGAGGCAAATCGGCCTGTATGACGATGGGTCGCCGGGCGGCTTACCAGGCTTCGGTAATAAAACAAGCGTTTGGAGTTTCCATATTGTGGGGAAAGTTCTCTCCATCAGGCACATGTTAAAAAGCTGCACGAACTGCGCGGGCTGCAAGGACATGGCTAGTTTCAGCGCTCGGTTGGGGATTCCGTCCGGACCCGGTGCCTTACTGGGCTTTAGGCTTCTGGCGATCGTCAGCACCTCTTCGACTGAGACTTCGTCGATGAGAGACGGCATGGCTGCTACGTGGCTCGATGGGCTGGCTTGCGTATGTAATACGTCGGGTCTGATTGGGAATAGCGTTTCCACAATCAACTTCAGCTCACTTGGGTCAGAAGGCTGCGCTTGTTTGCCGGCGTAGAGTCTTTTAACGACAGTTTTGTACGCCTTGCCCCAAGGATCATATTCGGCTGAGTCGCATAGCTCCAGGAAACATTCTCGTTTGCTATCTCTTATGGACTTCTTTAGCATTTTTCTGGCACTCTGATACCTTAGCTGCTGTTCGGCATAGTTGGGTCTACCTCGGGCTCGCTGGTATCTCCTCCTGGCTTGGATGCAGTTCCGCCGTGCTTCGGCAATATTTTCGTTCCACCAGTACGTGGGTACATGGTGGCGCCGAAACGTTTTCCGGGTTTGCATGCTCTCGTCACAGGCACGCGATAGCTGGCATGCCATTTGGGAGGCTCTTCTCTCTGCGTTGCCAGCAGTGACAAGCGAATGGACTGCATTCGAGAAGGCCACGGGGTCGAAAGTATCCAGGCGGTAAGCTTTCCGACTTAGGCTTCTAGTGCTGGCTGCAGTTCCTTCACCAATCGTGCATATTATTGCGGAGTGGTCGCTTGCGGTGTATACGTCGCTTAGTTGCCATTTTGTTGCGCCGAAAAGTGACGAGCTTGCGAAGGTGAGATCGATTATGGATCCGATACCACCTCGAGATTCAGGTTTCTGCGAAGCTTTCCAAAGGGCACGACCTCTTGCGTTAGTTGCTTGGCTGCCCCATTCCACTGCCCAGGCGTTGAAGTCACCAGCAATAATGCGTCATCTACTAATGCATCTAATGCAGCTGTAAATTCGCAGAGCTGCATGCTTGGGGCCAGGTAGCAGCTGTATATCCACAGGCTGCCGTATTGTGCGCGTACAAACCCAGTAAAGGACTTTGTTTTTGTCAGCGATGTCGATGGGTCGCCACATACCCAGAGCGCAGCTTTTCCATCCTGATCCTCGGTCCATATTCTCGGGCAGTTGGTTTCTCGGTGGTGAGGTTCGCTGATAATGGCAATATCAATGCGCATCTCCCTAACAGTCTGCTCCAAGATGGCTTGAGCAGCTATGCAGTGGTTAAGGTTTATTTGAAGTAACCTTAACATTTCATTTTGCGTACTGCCTCGCGATACGCCGGACATTTAAAGCTTCCTGTAGCGTGGTCCGTTGATTTTTCTCCTTTCCGTGTGCAAAGGCTACATTTTGGTGGCTTGGAGCAGCTCTTTGCTTCGTGACCTGTGTCCCCGCATCTGAAGCATGCGCCTTTCATATCGTCTCCGCTGGTGCAGTTCGCTGCAATGTGCCCAAAACCCTGGCATTTAAGCACGCTTTGGTTGGTCTATTGCACGAATACGGCAGACAACCCATCCGATCCTACCTTGGCCCTCACAAGCGTCCTGGCTTTTGGCGCTGGGAGAGTAACTGTGGCCCTTTGCTGGCCGCCAAATGCTGGTCGCAGCGATTTGATCGCTTCAATCGACAAGGAGTCGTCTTGTAAGGCACTTTTAATCGCTTCGAGCACTTCCTCCTTAGTCGCCAGCTCATCCAGGTCCTTGATCTCCACCTGGGACGTTTCGGTCAGCGTTCTTACTACCGCCCGGTCACCCAAGGCCTTTCCCACAGCTTCTTGCAGCTCATCTGCGGAGTGCTCCGGCTTCCTATTGAGGCGCAGCAGAAGATCGCCCTTCGCGGTCTTGCGAATGCCCTGCACATCGCCACTTAGGTGCTTGAGGGCCGGGTCGCTCTTCACGAGCCTGAGCATATCGGCATATGTGCAGTCACCCACTCCGTGGACTGTAATGGCGTCGGCTCTGGGACGCTTCTGCGTTCGCTTACGTCCGTTCACTGCTGTCCAGCTCTCTGGGTTGCCATTATGGCCAGCTAAGTTGGAGTTTGCAGGGGCTGTCTTTTGATGCGTGAGCACCGCCTGCTTCGCTGGGTTTTGACCCTGGCGTTTAGCCTTCTTGGAGGGAGTTCTGCGCTGCTCTGGCATGCCATCCCTCGGCCGTTTGGGCGTGCTTGCCTCTTTTTGGCCCCCGAGCTTCGTTGGGCGCGTCTTTAGCACGTTCGGCTCCGCACGTCTGGCAGCTCGTTTGCGCCTCGTCGCACTTCGTTCGGCACACAGAGCTTGAGCGCCACCTTTGCAGGCTTTCTACTCTCGCGAGTTCCTCTCGCATCAGCCCGTTAATGTGGCTTGTCCGTTGCAGCGCCGTTAAGCCGTTTAGGACTATCCCATCTTCTCGATCGTGCCTCTTAGCGTTCTTGGCAGCTCTCACTCGCTTTTGCCGGCGACGACGCAGCCACTCTTTGCTGCACTGGCGTGACCGCCTGGTGTGGGGTGATCCTGTAGCGCGGAGCGGCGCGCAAAGGCATGCAGCTCATCCTTCATTTTTCTATTGGCACCTGCTCTAACTACAGGGCTCTACAGAAAGTCCCTCGGTGGCCAAAGGTTTCCCTCAGGCTTGACCGCTGGGAGTTATACCGCTCCGACTCGGTCACCAGAGCCCCGTTTTTATGGCACCGCCGCGGCGGGGGGGTGGAAATTGGTCTGTTCCGCGACCTTTGCTCCTTTTTGCCCTGTAGCCTGTAGTGAGCACCGATACTGTCTTTCTCCAAAGCTTAACTGCTTAGCAAGAACAGCGTAAGCCCGAAGTATGCTGTACTTTCTGCCAGTTACAGCTTATCTCCTGGTTGATGTCTCCGCTACGCAGTTTGGCAGCTGGCTCTATAGTGCAGATCAGCTGGTTGTGAACTGCCTAGCCAACACTACCAACAGCTGTTAGAGTGAATGCAAGCAGCTGCACAAATACTTTGCGAGACGTTATACACTTGAGTGGTAAAACTACAAAAGCGCACAAACACGCCAAGTAGACGCCTCCACTGCCTCGCCTGGATCGTGGAACTGTAGACGCCACCCCAGGAATGGTCTGCACGGGCTTCGCAGTGAGTACCCCAAGCACCTTTTGGTGTCTTAGGCCTGTCTCGGTTCCTGCACACGTGCACTAACTTCACTTTAATTTCCAGGTTATTTGTTTATTTTCACGGAGCAGTTACAAACGCGTCCGCCTCTATGAAGACAATCTCATCTGTGTGTGTGTGTGTTTTTTTTTTGTATTCAGTTTATTTATGCTCAGTTATTTAGCTTAGGTTATAGTTGGGGTATTGTTTAGCTAGCGTGGATTGCCTGCGGAACGGTCCGCGAGCTCCGTCTGCTGCGCTCAACTCTCCTGAGTTCTGATTACTTCTGCTGCGAAGGTGCTGGCAGCGTCCCACTTTGTGCGGTCTCTATCATGCGTGACCAGGTTGTCCACCGTGATAGGTCTGCCCATGATGTCCTCCAGTTCCTGTCTGTTCGCTGCGAAACGGCCACACTCGAATATGACGTGATTGGCGTCCTCTATGATTCCTCTGCCGCACCAAGAACACTGCGTCTAAAGTGTAAAATTAGCATTGCCATACTTGCGATTTATCCAGGCTTCCAAGTTTGGGATAAGCCTATGCTTCCAGCGTCCTTTAGATGCGCGATCCCAGCGTGCTTGCCATCGTGCTACGCTCTGCATCCTTGCCTCAGTGCGAATCGAGTTTGCTGTGTTGCTTCCATTGTGGGCTCTATAGCAAACTACAGCTTCTGTTGCCAGTTCGTCTAGCGGGACCATCCCTGCGATAACCAGCGCCGCTTCGTCCGACACCGTCCGGAATGCGCAGCTGACCCGTAGAGCGCTTAGGCGATATATAGAGTGTACGCTGTAGCTGGGAAGAGCCATTGCTCTGCTCCAGATGGGGGACGCGTACATTATTACCGCTCTGTTTACGGTCATAAGGAGACGGCGTCTCTGCTGTTTCGGTCCCCGTGTGTTCAGCATAATCCTGGATAGCGCTCGACAGGACTCTGCTGCTTTCTTGTGCACGTACTCCAAGTGCTCTCTGAACGACATTCTTGTGTCTAGCATGACACCCAGGTACTTTAGCGCCCTTGCTGATTCTATTGTCGCACTGCCGACTCTTATGTGCGCTGTTTCCACTCTTTTTCGACTGCTGACTAACACCGCTTCTGTTTTATGAGCAGCCAGCTCGAGTCCAGCTGCTGCCAGCCATTGGTGCACACGGTCAATACTGTGGTTGCACGATTCCTCTACGTCCTTCAATTCCTTGCCGACGACTACAAGGCACGCGTCCGCGAAGCCGATGATACTTGTATCGATCGGGAGTTCCAGTCGGAGGATGCCATCGTACATGATGTTCCAGAGGAGGGGTCCTAGAACTGAGCCTTGGGGCACTCCAGCGGACACTTGATGTGTAGTGGGGCCGTCTGCGGTGTCGTATTGCAGCAGTCTTCCAGTGAAGTAGCTGCGTATCGTCTCCTGAAGATAATATGGGACGCGGAACGTTGACAATGCATCCAATATTTTGTCCCACCTGGCTGTGTTAAAGGCGTTTTTAACACGACAGTTTTGTGCCGCTTTTCCATCTCGATCCTTGGATGGCGTTTGTTGCTATGCCGACCACTTTCTCCAGAGCGTCTATTGTAGACTTTGCCTTGGTGAAACCAAATTGGCTTTGGGACAGGCCACCATTGTTGTCGACAGCTACCTGGAGCCTGTTGCAGATTAGCTTCTCCAGCACTTTGCCTAACGTGTCCAGGAGGCAAATCGGCCTGTATGACGATGGGTCGTCGGGCGGCTTACCAGGCTTCGGTAATAAAACTAGCGTTTGGAGTTTCCATATTGTGGGGAAAGTTCTCTCCATTAGGCACATGTTAAAAAGCTGCACGAACTGCGCGGGCTGCAAGGACATGGCTAGTTTCAGCGCTCGGTTGGGGATTCCGTCCGGACCCGGTGCCTTACTGGGCTTTAGGCTTCTGGCGATCGTCAGCACCTCTTCGACTGAGACTTCGTCGATGAGAGACGGCATGGCTGCTACGTGGCTCGATGGTCTGGCTTGCGTATGTAATACGTCGGGTCTGATTGGGAATAGCGTTTCCACAATCAACTTCAGCTCACTTGGGTCAGAAGGCTGCGCTTGTTTGCCGGCGTAGAGTCTTTTAACGACGAGTTGCGACTGCGATCGTCCCCTTGCCCTAAGGATCATTTTCGGCTCTGTCCTTAGCTCCGGAAACTCCTCGGGTGCTATCTCCTCTGGCTTGGATGCAGTTCCGCCTCTGGATATTTTCGTTCCACAGTACGTGGGTACATGGTGGCGCCGAAACGTTTTCCGGGTTTGCATGCTCTCGTCACAGGCACGCGATAGCTGGCATGCCATTTGGGAGGCTCTTCTCTCTGCGTTGCCGGCAGTGACAAGCGAATGGACTGCATTCGAAAAGGCCACGGGGTCGAAAGTATCCAGGCGGTAAGCTTTCCGACTTAGGCTTCTAGTGCTGGCTGCAGTTCCTTCACCAATCGTGCATATTATTGCGGAGTGGTCGCTTGCGGTGTATAAGTCGCTTAGTTGCCATTTTGTTGCGCTAAAAAGTGACGAGCTTGCGAAGGTGAGATCGATTATGGATCCGATACCACCTCGAGTGAAGGTATTTTCCGAGCCGAAGTTTAGCAGGGCTATATCCAGGGCTGCGAAGCTTTCCAACAGGGCACGACCTCTTGCGTTAGTTGCTTGGCTGCCCCATTCCACTGCCCAGGCGTTGAAGTCACCAGCAATAATGACCTTCCGCCCCCTTGCGTCATCTACTAATGCATCTAATGCAGCTGTAAATTCGCAGAGCTGCATGCTTGGGGCCAGGTAGCAGCTGTATATCCACAGGCTGCCGTATTGTGCGCGTACAAACCCAGTAAAGGACTTTGTTTTTGTCAGCGATGTCGATGGGTCGCCACATACCCAGAGCGCAGCTTTTCCATCCTGATCCTCGGTCCATATTCTCGGGCAGTTGGTTTCTCGGTGGTGGGGTTCGCTGATAATGGCAATATCAATGCGCATCTCCCTAACAGTCTGCTCCAAGATGGCTTGAGCAGCTATGCAGTGGTTAAGGTTTATTTGAAGTAACCTTAACATTTCATTTTGCGTACTGCCTCGCGATACGCCGGACATTTAAAGCTTCCTGTAGCGTGGTCCGTTGATTTTTCTCCTTTCCGTATGCAAAGGCTACATTTTGGTGGCTTGGAGCAGCTCTTTGCTTCGTGACCTGTGTCCCCGCATCTGAAGCATGCGCCTTTCATATCGTCTCCGCTGGTGCAGTTCGCTGCAATGTGCCCAAAACCCTGGCATTTAAAGCATCGCTTTGGTTGGTCTATTGCACGAATACGGCAGACAACCCATCCGATCCTCACCTTGGCCTTCTCGACAAGCGTCCTGGCTTTTGGCGCTGGGAGAGTAACTGTGGCCCTTTGCTGGCCGCCAAATGCTGGTCGCAGCGATTTGATCGTTTCAATCGGCAAGGAGTCGTCTTGTAAGGCACTTTTAATCGCTTCGAGCACTTCCTCCTTAGTCGCCAGCTCATCCAGGTCCTTGATCTCCACCTGGGACGTTTCGGTCAGCGTTCTTACTACCGCCCGGTCACCCAATGCCTTTCCCACAGCTTCTTGAAGCTCATCTGCGGAGTGCTCCGGCTTCCTATTGAGGCGCAGCAGAAGATCGCCCTTCGCGGTCTTGCGAATGCCATGCACATCGCCACTTAGGTGCTTGAGGGCCGGGTCGCTCTTCACGAGCCTGAGCATATCGGCATATGTGCAGTCACCCACTCCGTGGACTGTAATGGACTTTCTACTCTCGCGAGTTCCTCTCGCATCTGCCCGTAAATGTGGCGTTGTCCGTTGAACAGCGCCGTTAAGCCGTTTAGGACTAAGCCCATCTTCTCGATCGTGCCTCTTAGCGTTCTTGGCAGCTCCTCACTCTCTTTTGCCGGCGACGACGCAGCCACTCTTTGCTGCACTGGCGTGACCGCCTTGTGTGGCGGTGATCGCTGTAGCGCAGAGCGGCGCGCAAAGGCATGCAGCTGTGTGTTTGTGTGTGCAATTTTGTGTGTGCTTGTGTGTGTGCGTAAGCCGTGTATGTGGGTGCGTGTGTGTTTCTGTGTGCGTGTGTCTGTGTATGTGTGTGTGCGTGTTTTTTTTTTTTTTTGTATAGGACAGAAAAGCATCAAGAGCCGAAAAGTGTGGGATTTGCACCCAATCAAAACCCAACTACTCTCCGTATCCCTCTCATGGCACCACCGATTGGTATCATGGCATGAAAGCCTCAGCTAGATTCTCATCTGTGATTGACGATTGCGTTGTCTTTCAGCGCGACGCAAGGATTTAATTATCTCTGCAGCTGTGGTGCTAATACCAATCCAATTATTTTGCGAGCTTAGTATGATATCTAGTAAGTCGTTGACTATAAAAGGTCTCCCAATAATTTGACCAAGCTCTTCCCGTTCAGCAGAGAATCTTGGACAGACGAAAAAGACATGTTCAGCGTATTTTATGGCCCGCGCACAGAGTGTGCAAAACGGGTCCGATTCTTGTTTAAACCTATATAGGGTTTAAAGCACCCGTGTCCCGTCAGTAATTGAGTCAGGTAGAAATCGGTCTGACCGTGCTTCTTACTCACCCAAGGCCGCATGTCCGGGATCAGCAATCGTGTCCAGCTGCCATTGCTAGTATTTCTCCTCGCCTACCATTCCTCCATAGTTTCAGCCCGCCTTGTAGTTTGGGGGCTGTTGGTCCTTGTCTCCATTGTCAGAAGATCTAGTGGGATCATTCCGGCCAGCACTAGTGCTGCATCCTCGGAGACAGTACGGTAGGAGCTGAGGCATACTCCCAAGTATCTAATGGCTGGCTTCGAGTGTAAGAGACAGTTGTCGACGCATATTGTGTCTGTCTCCACTACCTTACGGCAGCTGACCAGTACTGCCACCGTCTTGTGGGCAGCCAGTGTTAAGCCATTTGTCGGGAGCCAGTTCACCACATGGCGGATAGCGGTGTTTGTTTTCTTCTCAACCGCAGGCAGCTCCTTGCTGACCGTAACCACCGCAATGTCATCCGCAAAGCCATTATGGTGTGCTGCCGCTGTCCTGCAGAGGTGTCATACAGGAGCACACGATTGGAGAAATAGTGTAACTTATCAGTTACTCGGATATCTAGAGTCCCTGAAGTGCGCGTATGATAATTATTGAATTAAACGCGTTCTTTGCGTCCAGGGTCGTGATGAGGCAGTATTTCTGGTACCCTTCCGCCATCGGGTCCCCTCGATGGCTTGTGTGTCGATGCCCACCACTCTTCTGAATCCTCAATGCTATGAGAATTATCTAACTCGTTGCAAAAGGCAATTTGCCCTAAATCCGAGACAGTTTTACAATTTTGTAAACTTTAAGCGTAAATCTTCAAGTTTGCCATCTTCTTTTTCTCTCGGGATGGTTAAAGCTAGCAATGACTCTGATTCTGCTAACATCCTTACTAATTTTTTACAATCAAGTAACTTTTCAGTCTGTCCTAATAATAATTCTTACCCTTATACTATTACTTCCTCTAGTTCTATGTCTCCTCCTATTATTTCCCATTCCTCTTTAGCTTTAAATTCTTTAAAATCTTCTTTCTCTCCTGGGCCTGACAATATTCCTAGTTGTCTACTCAAGGAGTGTAGTTCTTCCCTTGTTTACCCATTGCTTAAGCTTTTTAATCTATTCCTTGAATCTTCTGTCTTTCCATCTCTTTGGAAAGGATCTTATATCATTCCCCTCCACAAGAAAGGTGGAAAGTCTGATATACAAAATTACAGGGACATTGCAAAACAGTCCGCTATTCCTAAATTATTTGAAAAAATAATCACTTCGAATTTGCAGCATTTCTGCAAATCAGTTGTTTCCCCTGTTCAACATGGATTCGTAAAGAATAGGTCAACTACGACCAATCTGCTTGAGTTTACTTCCTTGGTAAATGATGCTTTCCTTTCGAAAATGCAAACTGATGTCATTTACACTGACTTCAGTAAGGCGTTTGACTCTGTGCACCATGACATTTGACTTTTTAAACTTGACCGAATAGGTTTAAATTGGGAACCTAATTTTCGGTTCCCATTCTATTCCAGCAGGCTGCTTATTCTTAATCTTCCGTCGTTAACCAACCGTAGGACAATTCTCGGTGTTCTCTTTCTACATAAGTTGGTTGTTGGCGATATAGGTTCTCCTTTTCTGCTACGGCGTCTTCAATTCTCTGTTCCGGCTAGACCAACCAGAAATTACCGCCCCTTATTCCTATCGACGTGCAAAATTTTATAAAATTTTATAAATTTTCCCCAACCGGGTCGGTGATTTCCCTTCACTTTCCCAATACTATCTCTTTATCCTATCTACTTAACACTCTATATATCTAGCATACAGTTCTTTACTCTATTAACAATCTTCTTACTTTCTTTTCTCCTATTTATGGTATATTCTTAAATAATATAGCAAATTAAGATTATTTTTAATTTTAGTTAAGAACACTTTTTCCTACTTACACCCTTCTTCTTAGATGTAGGCTCTAATAGCGTCACTGACAAAATGGCCGGACTGGCAAATAAAACACCTCCATCGGTCGGTGATGCTATTAGAAATTTGTGTTCTCTAACTAGGCTTTTAGCATTTAATTTTCATAGTTGTATATATAATGTATTGAATAATTAGGAAAACACTCGTTTTGTTGACCACTAATAAATAAATAAATAAATATATATTGAGACACGTTTTGCGATTTCACTCCGAACCGAAATTTCCATAGAAATTGCTAACACGTCGAAGTCCTCGTGCAATTGGCTACCAAATTCATCAAAAGTCTCGTTCTTCGAGACTGGTGTGAGTAATATCGAACGAGGCCTGAAGCCGCTCGATTTGCTTCAGACTAACAGTAAGACCGCACTCATCAATTGCACTAAGTGTCGAATTACTTAGAGCATATTGAAGTGTTTGCAAACTTTCGTAAATTGAAATGGTTTTGCACTTCAGAAGAGTCACCCTGTTTGCAGAGGGCACTGCACTAAAGGCATTTTCTGTTGCCATTATAAGCGTTGATAGAAAGTGTGTGCGAAACTAGCTGACTACCTAACATTGGTAATCGCTAGTACATGTAAACCGTTCAAAAACAATAGCTGTAAGAACTTCTGCGAACGCAAGTGTCAAGCTATGTAACAAAGCAACGGCAATAGCTTGTACATAAGTTACGCACGAAAGACCATCAAACTTTAAGCGACCGAGAGAGTAAGCAAAGCGACGGCGATAGCTTATATGTATATAAACTGCACAAAACGAAATGTCAGGTTGCTGATCTTTTAAGTTTACTGCTTTAATGTAAGGCAATAATATAACAACTAAAAATAAATCTCGTCGATGTCACCAAAATGCTGCGCTATTGCGCTTTCACAAATAGAAATAAATAACTTTATTTTATTTTTTGTGTTCCAATTTATTTATATATTTGTTATAAGTTACGAAAAGCAGTCAGACCCGAATTGGTCTGGGTTTATTATTTCGGAACAATAGTTATATTCAGGCAAGCGAACCCGAATTGGTACGTGCCGATTTAAGCGAGGCGACAATAGCGGCAAATTAATATGTTTTTATAATGCAAGTGGCCGATGCGTACCAAATGCACGAAGCGAAGGAACTTAACTAAACTCGACGCACAGCATCGAGGCCTTCGCAAAAGGTAATGTTAGGGCAATAAATGATCGTTACAGCGAAGAGCGCCAGCTTAATGTAAATAATCTTAAGAGCGAAATTTAAGCAGTTGCTTCGCAGAGCAAGTATTACAAGATAAGAAGACGATGCTGCTCTTATCAGTGGCGAGGTCGCTCCAGCTGTTTTGGCTGCGCAGCCAAACAACGTTTTTAATTTAATTTTCAATTGTCATCCATTTATAACTTGTCTTGTACTTGTCTGTTCGTTATTGCTCACTCCGATTTATTTATTATTATCGCCGCCACGATGATTTAACGGCCCTTTTGTATTCTGCAGTAGCCGCATCAAATCAGCATAATCAAATATTCATGTAAACATAAGAAGAGTTTGTAATCTTAGTTTCGTGAAACCTTGTTGCAAACAAGGTTGGCAAGCCTATCTTGCACTTATCGCAGATGCTATAAATTGCATATTCTCTTTTATCTCGTCTCTTGTTCATTGTTGATCGAGGTGAAGCGAAGAACTATTTCTGAGCCACAGCCAAATAAATAAATTCGATAAATGAAACTAATTTATAGCGTGTTTTTGTGAAAAGTCAAAATTGACTTTAGTTCTTGGCAGTAGTTTTCAAAACAGTTGCTAAAAAACATTAGTAATTCAGTGCGATTGCCTTTGACGCGGAGTGCAGAATTGCTAGGAGTGTCTTATGGAGGGAGCTATGCGGCAGAGTGGGGCTCTTCGAAGAAGCTGATGTTGAAATCCATGGATTTTGCGATGCCTGTGTGGATTCCTAATTAGTCTGCATCTATGTGGTGGCCAGATATTTTCTAGCCATAAGTCGGAGTTCGTCTCAACCCACGCGCATCCAAAAAGCCAGAACAGTTCTCATGACCGACGGATTGAAGCTTCGTCTCACTATACACCACTCTTTTAGGTACGGGAAAGAGGGTTATGTTTAAAACCGGCTAACCACGGTGCCCGAATTTGTGTTAATATGAAGTAAAAAGGATTAGCAGACATTCTTTGTTAGCATCGCTTTATTAACGCTTTCTTCTCTGTTAATATTATGCACTACCCTACTCTGTTTCCCTACGTTAAGGCCCTGCCGCACTGTCTGGAGCCTTAGCGCTCCGCTACCCGCTTAGGGTTATGTTCGTCGCTTTAGCTTCTACTTACTCTGATCGTCACCGCAAACGAGCCGTACGCTTGCCTCGGTCGCCCAACTTCGCCGCGAGCTTTCGAAACTTCACCTCGGAGCTTTCTCTCTTCGCCGCCGAATTGAAGTTGCGCTCTCGAAGTCGGTGTTGAGCAACCGATCGGCAACGCATGGTTGTTGCGGCGGCCGGCGGTTACATTCTCTTTCTAGCTCCTTGCCCTTAGTCAACTACATGCTTTTCTAATACAATATGTTTAATAATGCCTATATACTATACTATATATATATATATATATATACTATATACTTCCTTACTACTCATACTTAGGATGCTTATAAACTAACAAAACAATAATACTATAAACCTAACGGCTTGCGACCCTGCATTACTCGCTTAAACTATAAACTTAAGGGCTCCTTGCGTGAATCAGGGCTGTGCGGTGGCTGATCCAGGTAGCCACCTCACACCGTGTATTGCACCTCCACGCCAACAGAACTCAGGAAGTGGTGAACTGAGTATCCGTTCACAGAGTATCCGTTCCACTTACTAAACGCATCCTGGAATACCGACAGGGCCCTTGGAGTGATCTTTCCAGATGGACTCTTTATCGAGTTGAGCCATTTGAGTGCCATGTGGTCGGTGATGACTTCGAACCTGTTCTAAATCTCACCTCAGCTTGCAGATTGATCATACTATGGCCAGGCACTCATTTTCCGTGGTCTGCGTGAGAAGGGGACCCAGGCTATGATCACTCGAGACCGTCGGTAACACGAATTTATCGCTGAAGTCTGGGAAGCTTTTATCGTCGCCGTTGTGAGTCATTCCTTAAGCTGGTCTCGCTTATGATGATGATGTCATCCAGATAGGCGATGGCATGGGGGTTCCGCTTATGCCCCCCCCACTGAATTCAAGGCCCTCTGGAACGTGGCGCACGCAGAGTGCAACCCCAAGGCCATCACCATCCACTGGTATAGACCCCCACCTAGACTGTAAACGCTGTGTATTGTTTACTCCTTTCCTCCATGGGTATCTGCCAATATCCCTGCTCCAGCGTGGATATGTAGCGTGCGTGCTGTATGCGGTCCAAGATGTCGTTTATCCGGGTTATATAATCGATGCACATTCGACATTCCCCCGTCTTCTTCTTCACCTGCACGATCGGCGCGCTGTACTGGCTGTACTGACCAATCACTCGTCGATGACTCGCTGCATCGCGGGGTATCTTGGCTAATACCTCTGCTTGATGGGCTCGTTGTCCTTCATCACGATACGTTGGCTGGCTATATGGGATACGCCCTCCAGCCCCTCGAATCGTGCCAGAAGCTCTTGCTGACTCGGCTCCAGGTCTACTGGCCGGACGTCCTATCTGTGCGGACTCCCCTCTCAAGAGCCTTCACCACCACTAACCTCGTGGCTGGCTCCCGCGGCTGGGATTTCCCCCATGGCTAGCACGCCTGTTAGTACGACATCTCCTGTCAGTCCACCCTCGTCGAGCCCCCTTTACGCTCCCATTTCGACTCTCTTACTGGCACCCTCCCGATTCTCTCCACGGGACAGACGGTCGCCCCCTGCGGAATCCCTAACCTTGCCTCCGGGATCGCCTCCGCAGGGCAACCAGTCGCCCCTTGCCGAATTCCCGGTCACTCCACTGTTCCTAGCGTGATCTCGCTGTCTCCACAGCCTATTCTCGTGCCTATCGCACGCAGGAAATCCATGCCTAGGATCACCTGGTCTAGCATCGACGCCATTATTAGCAGAGGCACTTGAATCGTGCGACCCGCTGCACCATTCGTGCAACATCTAGCCCTGAGCCGTCCGCTAGCCGTGTCCTAGTCCGAACCTCCCCGTTCTTGGCTACTTTCGCCGCAAAAGCCCCACTGATTAAATATCGGGTAGAGCCGGGGTCGATTTTGATCTTCACCCCTCTACTCGCAATTGGTCTAGTGATTCCGGGCTTCGTTGACGTCGCTGCCAGCCCGCTCTCGGTCCGGGTGGTGCCGCTAACCGTTTCCCTGAACAGGCCGCCTACAACATTCCTGGCTGCTCACCTCTTTGGGAGCGCATTGCGCACAGAAAACCACCTGAGTATTGGGACATGCGCTTCTAAAATGGTATTTTTACCAGCACCGATAGCATACTGGACGTCGCCTGGCATTTACTCCTGGTTCTTGACCGATCATCCTGTTGACGGCCTCTTCTCGTTGTATTGGCAACGATCCAATGACTATCCCACCGGGAGTCGCCTCGATAACTGGCGGTAAAGGATCTCTGAACGGGTTATTCAGTACGATCGTTGATTGCGCCCGAAGCCTAGATATGCGCCCATGCTACTCGACGGGTACTGTTGACCGTGCTGCCTTATGCCCTCATACTCGACGGCTAATTGTATAAGCTTGGACAGAGACGAGAAATCTTGTCTCCGCACATACAATTTATATTCCGATGCTGCGTTTTCGTAGTTCCTTCCCAGGGCTGTAGTCCGCATGGTGCATTAACGCCCACATATTGCTCGAAGTACCGCGGGGGCAGAAAAAAATCTAGAAACCCCTCTTTGAACTTAGTCCACGATACGTCTCTTAGCCCAATCGTCATGAGCCACCGAGCGACCTCGCCAACCATGACCTCATTGATCGCCCTCGGTAGTCTATCTATATCGATGTCATAGGACAGGGCGCGATCCTCCAAAGGACAATGGATCGGCCTGCCCATCGAACCGTATACCCCACTTCCTCACTTGCTCGGGTACAATACAGTGTCCCCTCATGACGGGACACCCTTAGCACCACGGCGCGTTCCCAACTCTTTCATTTTATCCCCCGCCTCGCTTCGCATCGGGCCCTGTAGCCCGTGATCACCGGAACTTCGAGCAGGCCGGGGGTGCTCAGACGTGGGCCGCAATCCGATTTGGATTTCGAACGCCTATCCTATTCAATTGGCTCGGGTTCGGGCTGGGCCTTATGTTCTGAGGCTCGTATGTATTTGGCCTCCAACTCGCCGAGTGTGAACTCCTGGAAACGAACCTCGCTAGGCGACGACTCAAGTCTTCAACCCGCCCTAGCTCGCTCAGCCCGAACTCGCGAGCAATCGGCTCTAGCTCCTCGTTTCGCCACAAGTGGATTCTGGCCCTGCATTCTGACACACGTATGCATCCTCTTTATTTTTGTGTTCGTTCTCTTCCTTGGTACTTGGGGTTCAGTATTTTCCTTTTAGGTTGCGCTTGTATTCTCTTATATTTATCTATATTTATCTTATGGAATTCTTAATATTTTATTGTCCATGTTGTATTTCCTTTTTTTTGCTATTTATTTTACATTTTTATCTTGTTTGTCAGATTGACTGACTGAGTGATTGATGTTCAACGCATAGCCCATACCGTAAGAGCTAGGAAGCTGAAATTTTTACTGTAGTTACCTTATTTGATAAAGGTTAAATTCATTTGAGGGGTGTTTCACACTTTTCCAAAAATACATTCCTCCTTGGTGGAAATGAGGGTCAAAGATTTGGTGGGTGACGTTTCGCGCTCAAATTCATATCCATGGACTTACATTAAAAATTATTTGAGACGTGTTTGCCATTTTTCGCAAAATAAAAGCTTTCTCGGTGGAAAGTGTTGTCGGCTTTGTTTCAACTTTACGTATTTCAGCAATTTGGGAAATTTCACCCGCAACAGTGGTAAATTGGTGAAAAACGTTAGTATGAAAGTTGTTGGTTTACCGTCCGATAAGTTGCAAAATCATTTTCAAAGCTTTTTGAAAAATTTTATTCTATACGTGCCACGGGCAAGGCCGTGACGCGTAATTTACGCGCTAGTTATTTATAAATATTTAGTTCCGTTTCTTTTTTTTTTATTTTTCCTTCCTGCCAATATTTATTTTATATTAAATTTATTTAATTCCCGTTATTTTTTTAGTTCTTGATCCCGACCGTTCGATTGTTTTTTTTTGTTATTTATGGTCTTCGCTTATTATTTTCTCTGATCACCAAGCAATTTAAGCAAATAAAATAAAAAAATCAAATCGCCGCCTTACGATTTGGAGTTCAATATTCACGTTAATTATGCGCACTATTCATGTTGTTTTGTCTCCCCTTTTTTCTCACCCAAAAAAATATATTCACTGCGTACCAGCCTCGCCCTCCGTTGTTATTGGCCATGCTCGCTCACTCCTATACCGTGGTACCGTGCTCGCGATTACATGCCAGTCTCACTTTGCTTTTATTTATTATTTCACTTCGATTTGTTTCGATTGAACAAACGGGCAGTCAGTGGAGAGAAAAAATGTTTAAAAAATCTTTGGTATCCTTGACTCGCGTCTTCTCGTTTTGTTTTGTTTTCACTCTCTCTCTTTTTTATACCCTGAACCCATTAAAAATGCGAACAAGGGTATAATATATTTGTGCAAATGTATGTAACAGGCAGAAGGAAGCATCTCCGACCCCATAAAGTATATATAGTGACATATCCATAGTCGCACCCACCCTTTAACATAACTTAGCACACAAGCATAAGCATAAGTATAAACACTTCCAATATTGTAAACAAAAAGCCTGGTGATAACATCGACATTGGTCAAGATCAAACTGTCCCCCTTTGGTAGACATAAACAATTCACCCTAAATATCACGCCACTGTCAATGTTCCCATCAGAGTACTATCCCACGCATAATTGCTGACGCAGCTCAAACTTCACTCAATTTTGACTCAAACTCTCTCAAACCGAAGTTTGCTAAGCGACCGCAACAGATAAATGAATCAGTCAAGATTCGGGAAGCAAATCTAATTGTACTCATCATAAGTAGTAGCCGTTAAGTGAAAATAAAGAATATAAATATATTTTTTTAAAGTAATTAAACGAGCAAAACTTAATTGGCGCAGCCGGTAGGATACGTCGGGAAAAAGTAAAGATCGCTAAAGGATAATTAATTCCTAGATCTAAAAACACAATCGCGACCGAAATTGTTGTCGGTAATTGTCGGTGTGTAACAAACTTTTTTTTCGAATACGTATCCGCATAAGAACCTTCGGGTCACTAGTAGTCTAATAACATCGACCCTTCGGGCAATAAAACTACTACAGTTAATAACGACTGGCTTTGCATATCTTTTGATCCCTGCAATACGTTATTACTGGGTCTTATCCATAAGACACACACACAAAAAAAAAAACATTAAAACAAAGTGCAAAGAAATAAAAGTGCAAGAAAACCACAAACTCAAAGAAAAAAAAAACTATTTAAAGTGTATTACACCAAAACCATGACGATGGAGTTATCAGAACAACACCTAAACCAGGCCCTTTCGCAACTTAGACAGGTGCCATGTTTTGACGGATCAACAGAAAATCTCAACGCTTTTATTAAAAGGATCGATTACATCCTACATCTTTATCCAACCCGAGATGTCAGACAACACAGCATCTTATACGGAGCCATCGAATTGCAAGTTGCTGGAGATGCTCAGAGGGTTTCACAAAGGACAGCAGCCAACACTTGGCAGGAGTTGAGGAACGCACTGATTGAAGAATACAAAGTACAAACACCATTTGAAGAACTCCTTCGACGCCTATACAACACGAATTACCAGGGAAACGTCCGTAAGTTCATCGAGGATCTCGAAAATAAATCTTATGTTATAT